GCTCAACTTCCTCCTTTCTTTTCTTTTTCTTTCTATTTTAGTAACTGAAGCAACACACCGACACCAAACATCCACAACCAGAAGCTAAATCAGGACATGTTTCCAGCTTTTTTGGATCAGATAGTAATCATCTTCCTTTGGAGTTTAGCACCAAAACGAGTCAATCTTTGATTTTTCCATCACTGAGTTTGAGTCAACAGGCACAAACCACAGACACAGTAAGGTTCTAATCCATCCAGGTCTGTCTAACGTTATTACCCAATGACAGAAGAGACTGAGCAGCAGATCAGTGTTGATGAGATGCCTCCTGCTGATAGCATTATGATCAGATCAGGGCCTTAACAAACAGTCAACACCCATCAGCCCCTGCTCACAGCTCATTTTCACAGTAAAGCGCCCCGTGGAAGAGCAGGATCACAGAAGAATAGGGCCATGATTTCCTGAAACCCATCATCCTACAGCCCCGTCTGGCCCATTTCATCCTCCAGTCTCCACCTGGGACCAAAGCGTAGATAACACCAGGCATCGTTCTCCAGAGAGGAAGAGCAGCAGAGAAAAGCCTGACCACTAGACTGATGGGGAAACTGGGCAGACGGGATAAGAAACACCCTCAAACACAATAATCTGGGGAGTCCTCACGCTCCGACAGTTGCTCGACTAAATGGCAGCCTGATTTCTGCTTTTCACGCTTGCTCGCGTGGGCCTAATGAGGTATTTTTAGCTGGCTGTGAACAGCGGTGCATCGCTTCCAGAAAGAGAAGTCTGAGCTGAATGCTGACCGGCGTTTTCTGGCACAAACAGGCTTTCCTCAGACGCCTTTCGCTTCCTGCTTCCAGTCTTCAAGGTGCATAAACTACCGGGAGAACTACAGACAATCTCTGGCTGCCTCTTCTCAGCAGAGTCACTTGCCAATGGTTTAAAATACAAACAATCATTCAGTATTTTTTGTGTTTGTTCAAAAAAGGAATTGGGTCTCTGTGACAGCAGTCAGAGTGGGAAGCAGGAACAGCAGGTCTTTACACCATAAACACTCCAAACATCGAGTGCAACTGGACTTAAAGTACTTGTGCTGGAGCTCCAAACAGATAAAAAGTCAACAAGACAATGTAAACTGCTGAAGGACTGGGCCATGCACTGGGCTTTGGAATTGTTCAATACCGTCATAAAAACCCAAATAAAGAAATGTCTTTCAGCGCTACTAGCTATAATATTGTAATTATTTCTAGATACTTTTGCATGGATTACTTTATTTCATGAATAAAAGAGACAGTAATGACTCATGCTGCATGACAGGAAGCATATGTTTGGTTACCGCTCTAACTTTAGTCCACAAAAGCCTCGGTTTTTAGTCAGGTGTCTGCTCTGAGGAGCGTTTGACAGAAGCAGCCGGGCTCAGCGGACTCTGTTTTGACACAAAGCGTAACTATTAATTAGAGCTAGGACCAGGGAGACGTTCTCTCTGGGGGACTCTGAGTCAGAGCTGGATGCTGGAGTCGGGGCCAAATGGGTCAGCCTGAGGGCTGAGGAGGGACACAATGACCAAAAACACTCAGAGAGCATTTACTCTGCTCCCGACTCTGCTCTGTGAAGCGTCCCTTTGTGGCACGCGCACGTGGAAACATGCGCGCTCGCTGCATCTCTGCTGACCCATCTCTTTCATGTCCAGTCTTAGCGGGGAGCGGTTGAAAGGGCACATAGGGCTGCTGACATTAGGGGCTAAACGCACCCTGTTCAGGCCCTCTCTAAAGGTGTGTGTGTGTGTCTGTGTGTGTGTGTGTGTGTGTGTGTGTGAGTGAAGGGGGGCCTTGGTCTGTCTGACCCGGCCACAGGGCTGAGGGTCCACAGCCTGTGCGTGCATGTGGGCTGTTAAATATAGCTCAGCTAAAAAAAAAAAAAAAAAAAAAAAAGAATAAAAAGCCTGTTTGACTTTCAGTAAATATCTTCATCACTCGTCTTCATCGTTTATCTGAATGAGCGGGAGCTGGGATCCATTCACCGGTGCAATTAGCAGCACAAAGACTGTAACACAGTCATACAGTAAGGCTTCAGCTCCATTATCGCCCCACAGACTATATTTAGCTCCCCCATCTTTTTGGTTTCCATGGGAATGGGGAGCTCGGCGTGCACAGCTGGGGCCCGGGCTTTTTTTTTTTTCCAGAAGCTTCAGCGGCAGAGTGGCGGGCTCCTGGACCACAGCTTAGTGGGTTTGTCAACTTATCATTTCCACTAGACTGACTCTAAAGCATCGCTAGGTTTGTGCCTCGCCGCTGTCCTAGTTTTCTCTTCATACTACAGGCCTGCGCTTTCAACTCAACTCAGCACATCTGGAACATGTGGCGGATGAGGGGAGAGACAAATGATGTGCTCCATTCAGACATCAGTCCTGTTCCAATTCATCTGAATAAACGGGGAACAAAACAGGAAGCCGATACCTTCTGATACATCTCACGCTGATGCCTAAAAATAGTCTCTTGGTTCTCAGAGTTGCAGTGGTGGAGAAAGTACTCATACAATGTACTTAAGTAAAAGTACAA